TTGAGCTGAAGAGCTGAGGGACAGTGCCCAGACTCAGAGTTCAGGCCCCATGACCGGACCCCCCCCCCAAAAAAAAAAGAATACAGAAATTCACCCTTGGAACTCAATCTTAAAAAGGAAGGAAATTCTGATACAATGCTACGACATGAAGGAAACTTGAGATCACGATGTGAAATAGAGCAGTTACAAAAAAGAAAATACTGTATAATTATAGTTAGATGAGGTAAAGTAACCACACTCCAAGAGACAGAAAGAATAGTGGTTTCCAAGGCTGAGGGAGAGGAGAAAATGAGGAGTAATTACTTATTGGTTATAGAATTTAAGTATTACAAGTTTGTTTTTTTTTTAAGTGCCGGATGCCGGTGGTTCACACCTATAATCCTAGCTACTCAGGAGGCTGAGATCTGAGGATTGTGGTTGAAAGCCAGACCAGGCAGGAAAGTCTATGAGACTCTTATCTCTAATTAACCTCCAGAAAACTGGAAGTGGCGCTGTGGCTCAAGTGGTAGAGTGCTAGCCTTGAGCTGAAGCGCTTAGGACTGGTGCCCAGGCCCAGAGTTCAAGCACATGACAGACAAAAAAAAAAAAAAAGGACTGATGGTTGCACAACATTGTTTTTTGTTTTTGCCAGTCCTGGGGCTTAAAATCAGGGCCAGGGCACTGTGCCTCAGCTTCTTTTGCTCAAGGCTAGCGCTCTATTATTTGAGCCACAGCGCCCCTTCCGGCTTTTTCTGTATATGTGATACTGAGGAATCAAACCCAGGGCTTCTTGAGTGCTAGGCAAGCACTCTACCACTAAGCCACATTTCCAACCATCAATGTATTTAATAATACTGAGTTATACACCAAAAAATAATTTAGGTGGTAAGTTTTATTTATTTTTTTGTTGGTCCTGAGGCTTGAACTCAGGGCCTGGGTACTGTCCCTGAGCTTTTCTGTGCTCAAGGTTAGCGCTCTACCACTTGAGCCACAACACAGCTTCTGGCTTTTTGTTTATGTGGTGCTGAGGAATGGAACCCAGGGCCTCATGCATGTAAGGCAAGCATTCTGCCACTAAGCCACATTCCCAGCCCAGTTTTATGTTTTTTACATAAACCAGAAAGAAAGAAAAAAAGACCTTGACCCTGGAAGGTTATTCAAGCCATACCCAGAACAAAGTGACCCTAGGACTCATATTTGGAAGCCTTTGTGACTCCCCCAAGCCATTACAGTAGCCTATCTCCTTCCCAGGAAGAATTCCCTCCCCCGCCCCTAAAAAATTCCCAGTAAAAAGTTACAAATGGTGTGGGAGTAATTTTTAAGAAGAGTGGAAAAAGCTCCTTTAGGATTTGCCTTGAGGTACAAAAGAAGAAGGATTGGGAGTTCCACAGTCCAGACCAAAGGAGTAATTACATTAACTATGGGATTAACTCTCCAACAGCTGTCAGTTTCCTCCATTTTTTTTTTAACCACCCCTCTCCCAAGAACAAAACTCCAGGAAAATAGAGATCCGTGGTTTACATATTAAGCCCACCACAATATTTAACACATAGTAGTCCCAGGGAAAATGTGATTGCCTTCTAGGAGCCCGAGGCTAAATTGAAGAAAAACAAAACAAAACAAAAGCTCCTAACAGGTTTCCCACTCCACATGAATTAATTACTTCATTACCTCCCCCTCCACAGTGCTCATTCCCTCACCTGCCCATTTCCTGGTTTGGACATGGTTTTCCTGGCTCGGTGAACCTTGGGCTGACCCTCCGGGGTGGTGGTAGCTGGTGGAGGGGGTGGTGGAGGAGGTGGAGGTTCAGGCCCTGTAGCTGAAGTTCCCTGGGACCCCGGCATACTCAGCAGCCTCATAGCTAAACTCTGGACCGAAGGAGGCGATTTTCCTGCTCCTGTCATTGACATTTTGGCCCGGCTGGGACAAGCACCCCCCTTGCTGGGAGAAGAGGGGAACGACTTTGTGGCATGGCCTAGAAAAGAGGACAAGCAGACAGACGAGATTATAAGACAGACAGATAAGAAGGCAGAGGGAGAAGACCCTCCACCGGCCCCCCATCCCACCCCACCCCTCCCCGGCCTCTCACCCAACAGGATTCGGCCCCCATCTCCCTCCAGATTCTCGGGCTCGTCCCCAATGAGCGGCGTCGCTCCTACAGGGGTGTCAGCCCCTTCGTCGCCGACGGTAACAGTGACCGAGGCCGGAGATGAGGGGCCAACAGGCTCCAAGGAGTCTGGGTTGGCCTTGGGTAGGGTCTCCTCGCCGTGAGGGGTGTCCCCCAAAGAGCCATGAACTGTAGAGGAAGAGAAAAAGTTCAGGCTAAGCGATCCGGGAATCCTATACGAAAGGGAGGAAGAAGGTCCAGCTGGGCCCGTTTCGGCCGCACTCACCTCTCTCGGTGGCTCCTCGGGGCTCCTTCTCCAGCAGCAGCGCCCCCATCTCAGCGGGGGCCTCCCCCTGAGAGGGGAGACAAGGAACCGGTGGGCCGGTCAGCCCGGCGGGGAGTTGGGGGGCCCAGGACGCCTGGGCCCTGGGAAGAGACAGTAGGCTCCGAGGCCTACCTCTTCCTCTATGAGGCCCCCCCCTTCCTCGGCCTCGACTGCCCGGAGGGGCTGCACGACCCCTCCCCCGGGCCCGCATCAACCCCCGCCCTCTCGGCAGACCCCGCATCTCTGGGGCCGAGAGGAGAGGAGGGGGAGGGGGCGGGGCCTCCGCGCCCCGGCCCCGCCCCCTCCTCCCGGCTGCACGCGCCGCTCCCCCTTTGTCCCCCAGGCCGCGGGGACCCCGGGCACCAACCCCTCCAGCGCCCGCTGCCCCCCAGCCCGGTGGACGGCCCCTCGTGCCCCTCGCGCGAGCTCCGGGGGCCCCGGCGTTCGCCGCCCATCCAGGGGCCGCCGGCGGCTGCATGCGCGCCTCCGTGCCCACTCCCCCCACCTCCCACCCCCTCGTCCCCTCATCCGCCCCCGGTGCTGGCCCCCTGGATTGCTGCAAGTCCCGCTCGGGCCCCCCGGCCCCGTTGCACCCCCGGAGCATTGCACGGGCGCGCGCTTCCCCCGGGCGCGCGCGCGGGCATGCACCCGCCTCTCCCCCTCCCCTTCCGCACCTCGGCGGCCGCCGCCGCTGCAGCTCCCGCCGCCGCCGCCATCGCCGCTTGCGCGGGGGGCCGAGCCGGCGCGCGGCCGCCCCGGGTCACGTGGTCGGGAAAGGGCGGGCGAGGAGGAGCCTTAAAGGAGCCGGTACGCGCAACCTGGCCATTTTCTCCTCCAAGGACGGCCTCGGGCTGGGCTGTGGCTGCCCTAGGCTGGGGGCTGCGGGGGAGATCCTTCATCTCCAGCCTCTGCTCCGCGGGGAACAGGGTGAGGCTCGCTGGGACCCCCGGCCTCTCGGCCCCTACCTGGCGTTAGGTGACTCGGGGAGCGTCCTGGCCGCCCGGCGCCCCGCAGCCGCTGTATTTCTGTTTGGCCCACTCGGGCTTCTCCCGCCCGGTTAATTTTCTGACTTGTGTCTGGGAGGTCAGCCAGAAGGCCTCAGTTTTGGCCTCGTCTCTAGCGAGCAAGAAGGATCGATGGGGACGCTCGTAAAGACACCTTTTCTCCTAGCTGGTTCTAGCGTCCCTTAGAGCAGCCTCCTTAAAAAAAATCTGGGGCTAAATGTCTCTTCTGCTCATGCCAGGCGGGTTTATGCTGTCACCTGCTCTACAGAACCCAAGGAAGTCCAGCCGTCCGAATGCCTATTGTCTAGTGACACAATAGTAAGTAACCATTTTGCCAAACATTTCACAAGCACCATCAGGCTACTCAGTGTTTCATAGGCCAGCGGACAGTGTATGTTCGGAATGATACACACCAAGATATACACTCCTCATCCTAGTGAAGAGTAAGGTCTCCTTTAGTTGTCACATCTTTGTGAAGTTTGGAAGTCCCTGTATGGTATCACACATACTATGTGCCTGACACTGGCAGGTGGTTAGATTTTAGGATACCTGAGGCCAATTCAAGACCTTCTGGGAACTGTAGTTCTCTGGTTCTGAACTTTTGAGAGCTTTCTGGGAATTGTAGTCTTCCTTGTACCCTAAGGCAACTTTAGCAAGGGTTAGCATTCCTAAAAATATAAAATTATGGGGGCGGGGGGAACACACAGATCAGATACATGCCTGCCTGCAATTTCAGCAGACCTGTAGCCCATCGTAAGCCTTGACCTACAAGTAGAGGAACAGTTAAACCTGTGTGCCATGAGGTTTAGGGCTAGGTGTTGAGGGTGGAGAACTTAATATTCCTAGCCTGAGAAGTTTACTTAAATTCCCTATTTTCTTTGAGGTTGGGCTCCTTTGGACACTGGACTTCATGAATTTGTGACCTCTGGGTGTTGAGCATTAGAGAGAGAGGCTCTCGGGTGGGATAGTCATATACAAGCAGTTGCCAGAATATAAAGAAAAAAACCTTTTTTTTTTATTTTGTGAAAAACAAAGCAGAAAAAACTAAAACCCCAAACTTCAGAAAAAATCCTAAAAAATACGTGTTTTCTTAAAAAATACTGTATTGTCTCTACTACTCTCCCTCCCCCCAACAGCCCCTCCTTGTGTCTCTTTTCTCTTAAGTGCCCTGCCCCCACCCCATCACTATTCATTGTTCTTGCTATTGTACCCCCACTTCCCAGTTATCTACCCAGAATGCTCACCCAACTGTTCTCTTACCTGGCACCTTATTTTGTTCTCCCTTGATTTTGGTGAGCCTTTTACCTACAGTCCCAACTTCCCCAGCATGCAAGAACTTGTCTCCCCTTCCTTTTCTGGGATTCAATAATCATTTCCCCCTTATCATGCCCTCTCCCAAGGATCTATTCTAAACAGGGGAGCAAGTAAGCTGCCTCCTGTCAAGTCCCCGCCCAACTCCCACCCACCCGGCCCCACCTCAAGAAATGTCACAATCTCCCCCTAGGCAGCCTTAGCCAGAAAGAAAAAAACCCAAAACATTTTCCAGCCTTTGCTTTTTCTCATTCTGTAAGACCCTTTCCCCACCCTCCACATATCCATGCACCTCTACAAGAAATCTTTCTCGGAGACCCAATATTCTCTTGGACTTGTCGAAGAACCCCACCTCTGGTCCCATCCTTTTCTTCTCCAAGAGGCAGGGTCTTCTCACCAAAGAATCTTCCTCCCTTCTCCCTTAGGATGTATATGTCTTCCCAGGATACCCAGATTCCCCCCAATTCTGCCAAGCTCAGGAGCCCTCTTCCTACCCAGCCCAAGGACCCCAGCCTCCTGGCCCTGCTAGCGGATGAGGACATTGATCTCCGCCACACTGGCGTCCAGCACATTCTCGGCTGTGGTCTTGCCGTGCTGCTCCTTGAGGTGCCGCCTAATGGCAGGCTTGTGGGCGAAGCGCACGTCGCAGTAGGAGCAGCGGTAGGGCCGCGCTCCTGAGTGTAGATTGAGGTGGTCGTGCAGCGTGGACTTCTGTGTGAAGCACTTGCCACAGATGCCACACGAGTGCGACTTGACGCCACGGTGCACGTTCATGTGGCGGTTGAGGTTGCTGCTGTGGTTGAACTGCTTGCCGCAGCGTGGGCACATGAAGATGAAATGTTGTGCACGCATGTGGAAGACCAACTTCTCCACACCCTGGAACACTTCCGGGCACTTGGTGCACTTGATGTTCTTTAAAGGGTTTCCACTTGAAAAGCCCCCTGGCAAGGGTCCCCGGCTACCCCCTGCCCCCAGGCTGCCCCCCGCCCCCCGAGCAGCCATGGCCACCGCTGCTGCTTCCACCAGGCCCGAAGTGGCCCCCACACTGGCCCGGCCTCCAGGAATCAACAGCAGGCCCTCCCCTTCGGCATCCTCGGACAGGCTGTAGCAGGCCTTTACCACTCCCTGAGGTGGAGCTACAGCGCTGGGGGCCACACTGCTCTGGGCCAGCTCCCCAAGGTGGCCGCTCACAGAGCCCCCAATACCCAGACCTGCTCCTAGGCTTCCGGAGGGTTTGAGCCGGTGAGCCACCTCAAGGGCAGACTCCACCTTCACGATGCAGATGTCCGACACATCCTCATCCTCATCCTCCTCCTCCTCCTCGGCCTTCAGTTCTAGATCCTCATCCAGTGGAAACTCCAGCTTCACAGGCCGGAGGAGAGGAGGGGGTAGAGGAGGTGGGGGCGGGGGCTTGGGAGCTGGCTTTGGGGTCCTGGCTGGAGGGAGGAGAGATTTGGTGGCACTGACACTGCTCACGAGGCTAGCCTCGCTGACCCCATCCTCCTTGAGGCCTATTTTGGGTTCAATGAACTGGCTGAGGGCATTCCGGCATTTCTCCACCACGTGCTCCATTTGCAGGTAGGAGGCAGCTGTTAGATAGTTGACGATGTCCCTGACAGCAAATTCCAGGGCGCCCGTGTAGCAGGAGAGGAGCAGGTCGGCCACGATGCGTGCGCTGTGCATCAGGGAGACCTGCAACTCGGAGCTGGGGTTCAGCAAGAACTGGTCCCGAAGAAACGGCGAGCAGGCGGCCAAGATGACCTTGTGGCCACGGAACTTGAGGCTGTCGGCCACAATGGTCACGTCGCAGAACCGCTCCTCAGCCCGGAGCTGGTTCATGTTCCGCAGCGTAGCGGCCTCGTGGCCAGGCAGCTGGAAGCGCAGGACTTCCACCCCAGAGGCCATTGTGGCGGGAATGGGCAACCCTGGGGTGGGAAGGAAAATGGTCAGAGACAAAGGTCTCCGGCTCGCCAATGCCAAGGCTCTGGTGCGTCCCCCCTCCCCCGCCCCGCGGCATCAGCTTTCCCAGTCTCCGCGCCTCTTCCTCAGTTTCCCCAAGCCTGGGGAGGCGCGGTCCCTGTTCGGAGGGAGGCGTGGTTCCCGGGGGCGGGGCAGCGGCGTCCACACCCCCCCGAGTCCGGCGGCCTGCAACGCTGGGGCGAACCCGCGCGCCCGCGAAAAGATGGAGAAACGGAGACACCCTGGTCTCTGGACTCCGGGGTGGCCCTGGAGAGCCGGCGCTGCTCACCCCGCCTCCTGCACCCCGGGCCTCATCCCACTGACCTCCCTTTTCACGTCTTCCCCCTCGTCGTCCGCACACCGCGTGCACGCCCCCTCCCACGCGGGGCTCCGCGGCACGCCCCCCCCCAGCTCCCCAACCCTGAGCGCACGCGCCTCTCACCTGGCCCGGCTCCGCGCGCTGGGTTTTCCCCCCCTATAGCTCCCCCACCCCCCCGGGGCCGGCGGCGCCCCCCACACTCGGGCAGGGCCTGGGCAGCGCGCAGGCGCGGGGGTGCGCGGGGCGCGCGCGGGGCCGGCTCCGCGTGGGCGTCAGGGGGGAGGGGCGGGGGCGGCTCGCGCGGCGTGTTCCAGGCCCCGCGCTCGGCGGCCTCGGCGAGGACTCGGAGAGGAGGAAGAGGGGAGGGAATTAAAGGAGCAGGATCCCCCCCCCTTCCAGACTCCCCCCTTTCTTCCCTCGCACACCCCCCCTCCCCCACACACACACGGTTAAAGGGCTGGACAGCCGTGCCTCCCCTTTGGCCAGGATTATTTGTCCGCCAGAGCGGAAATACGTTCCCCACCGTCCCCCTCCCTTCTCGCTCTCCCCCCCCCCCACCCACCCCCCTCCTCGGTGCCTCTGGGGCCCGCGGCCCGTCTGCGCGTGCGTGCCAAGTGCCGCGCTGAGGCTCGCTGGCTCGGGCCCGCCCCGCGCCCCCCTCGCGCCCCCCTTCTGCTCCCGGCGGTCCACTGGGCTTGCTCCGCGCCCCCGCGCGCGCCCCGCCCTCCCCGTGGCCCCCGGCGCGCGCCCGCGGGAGCTGCGAGCCGCAGGCGCTGCCACCTGCTGCAAAAGGTGGTGCTGCCCCGGACCAGCTGCGCAGCGGGCGGCCCCGGGTGCGGGGCGGGCCTCCCCCCAGGCCTCACGGTAACTCCCGGCTATCCGACGACGTCGCCCACGAGAGCTCCCTGTGTCCAGTTCCTCCGGCCGCACTTCCAAGACTTTTTTTTCCAAGTCTCCTGCCCAGCCCTCCTGGCCTGAAAGATGGTTGCCTTTCCCCGAGGAATCCAACGACCCCACCTTTCCCCTCTGTCACTTAAAAATCACACCTCGCCCTCCCTTTCATTTCCATAATTGCCAAGTCAAATGTCTCCACTTGTGCAGTTGATGACCTTGCCTACTTCTCCCCTCACTGTGTAATTAACTGTAGGGCTAATTCTTATAATAATGTAAATTAGTGGTGTAATTCTATTTTCCCCAGCCTCCCTCCCTGCAGCACCACCGGCTCTGAGCAGCCAGCAAGTAAACAAAACTTCCCCTCAACTCTTCCCCTCACCTTCTTTGTCAGTCTCAAATTAAGATGCGATCTCCACAGCTTCGCCAGCAGCACTTAGAGCCTTGAAGGATGAGCCTCAAGCACCCCCCCCCCACCTTGTACCCATAATACCCACACACTCCCACCCTTCCAAGATCCAAGTCAGTGGAGATGTCAATGTTTTCTGCCAAGTTGCTTTTTTTTTTTTTTTTTTTTGCATCCTCCAGGAAGACCAGCACATTTTTCTTACATCTTAATTCTGAGCTGCTTTTGTTACGTAGTGTGTTCGATATCTGTGTTCCCCCATGAGACTGTAAGTTTTTGATTACAGGAATTAGGCTGTGGGTTATGTTTTGCAAATAAAAGTCATGTAATAAATGACTGGCTGTTGAAGTCATTCTTCAGCTCAGCCAGCATCCACCCATAAAAAGTTTATTTCTGACTTCAACTGAATACCCAAACTCAAGGGATGCTGTTTGGTGAGAGGGTGTGGCTAGCGTTTAGGTAGTGACTTGGCTCAGACTCATAAATGATCTTTTATGTTGCCATCCAGTTCTCTCTATTCTAAAATACTTCCTTTGTAGAAATCGCCTTTGTTGTTAGACCATGTGGATTCAAGGAAGAACGGAGGCTCCTGTGTCTGATATACCTGATTCAAAGCCATATTCCAACTGCTCACTACAGGAGGGCCTTTGGGCAATTTACTTAATCCTCTAAATCACATCTTTATTTTTTAATTGAAGATCCTGATTCCTCCTACTGCTTGCATAAGAGTTAAGTGAGCCTGGCACACAACAATAACTCCTTTCCCTTTTTTCTGCCTGGGAGACACTATGACATTTTCAACAGAAATTAAAAATTCTGTTTTCCTGTTTTTCATCTCCAACTTTCTTTTTTATTTTAAAGTTTACCATTCTAATGAGAGCAGAAATAGGAAAAAGCTGTCAGATAAAGAATAATATTTTGTAAAGTTTTTTAAATTAAATAGTTTAAATTGTTATTAGAAAGATGATATACAGAGGGGTTACTGTTTCATAAGTCAGGTAGTGGGTATGTTTCTTCCTTCGCTCTCTCCCAGTTGAAATTTTGTAATTTTATCTTCTGTCTTCTTGCTACTTCTGTTTAGGATGGATCAGAGGCCCAGTGTTAGCCTGTTGCTTAAGATAGATCGTTCTTAGTGGCAAGTGAAACTGGGAGTTGATGAACTCTTCCAGTGTCTGGCCTACTCAGTTACTGACTCACAGGGGCAAGATGAAGTACACAGAGCTGCTGTTTCCTGTCCAGTCTGTTAGGGAGATGAGGTGAGGCTGCTTTCCCACATATCCCCCCCTAGGAGGTCTAGAATCATATAGCCCTGTGCACCTTGTTCCTCAACTTCTGTCAATGTAAGACAAGGGGGGCCTTCTTGTCCTGAGTCTTCAGAACCAAATGCCTTAGCATAGTGTCAAGATCAGGCAAATTCAAGATTCTTAGTGGGCTTTAGAAATAAAATCCAAGAAGTAGAGCTATGGCTAAAGTGGTAGAGCACCAGCCTTGAGTGAAAAAAACTTAAGGGACAACACTCAGGCCCTGAACTCAAGACACAGTACTGGCACAAAAAGAAAATGAAAGGAAGAAAGGAAAGAAAGATTCCAGCCAGAGAAGGTGGCTCAGTGGTAGAGGGCTTGCCTTGCATGCCTGAGGCCCTGGGTTCAATTCCTCAGCACCACATAAGCAAAAAGAAAAAAAGCCAGAAGTGGCACTGTGGCTCAAGTGGTAGAGCACTAGCCTTGAGCTGAAGAGCTGAGGGACAGCGCCCAGCCCAGAGTTCAGGCCCCACAACTGGACCCCCCCCCCAAAAAAAAAAAGAAAGATTCCAGCCAGAGATATGGATGTGAGAAACACCAAAGAGACAGAAGCTTCTAGTCCAGATGCGTAGTCATCAAAGCTCCAGAAGGGCCCAATGCTGGCGGCCTAGCTACTCAGATCTCATTTTGAAGCTACTATAGACAAATGTGTGAGACTCTGATCTCCAGTTAAAGGCTGCAGTCATAGTCAGTGCTTCTCCCGCCCCCCCCCCCCCCTTTTTTCCCATCTCTTCTTTCTGTCATCCTAGGGCTTGACCCAAAGGTTTGTTGTCCTGAGCTTTTGTGCTCAAGGCTAGTACTCTACCAGTTCCACTTCTAGCTTTTTGGTGGTTAATTGGAGATAAGAATCTCAAGGACTTTCCTGCCCAAACTGGCTTCAAACTATGATTCTTAGATGTCAGCCTCCTGAGTAGCTGGGATTACAGGCCTGAGTCTCCCACGCCTAGCCATATAACTCTTTATAAATAAAATGATTTCCGGGGCTGGGAAGGTGGCTCAGTGGTAGAGCGCTTGCCTTGCATGCTCAAGGCTCTGGGTTCGATTCCTCAGCACCACATAAGCAAAAAGAAAAAAGCCAGAAGTGGCACTGTGACTCAAGTGGTAGAGTGCTAGCCTTGAGCTGAAGAGCTGAGGGACTGTGCCCAGGCCCAGAGTTCAGGCCCCATGACTGGACCCCCCCCCAAAAAAAAAAAATAAAATGATTTCCTAAAGGAGCATATCTTTAGGGGAGGAATCCAAAGGTGCAACTTTTCTGAAATGAATTCCAGGAAATGGAAATGAGTTTTTGTAATTATTGTTGGTGGTGGTGGCATTTATTTTTGCTTTGTGTGTGTTGTGTGTGCTTCTTTCAGAGGAGGCAAAGGAAGGTACAGAAAGGGAGGGAGAAAGGGTTACCTAATGCAGTCATGATACTCAGCATATGAAAATGCTGAACTAGGGGCTGGGAAGTTGGCTCAGTGGTGGAGTGCTTGCCTTGCATGCATGAGGCCCTGGGTTCAATTCCTCAGCACCACATAAGCAGAAAAAAGCCAGAAGTGGTGCTGTGGCTCAAGTGGTAGGGCATTAGCCTTGAGCTGAAGAGCTGAGGGACAGCGCCCAGGCCCAGAGTTCAGCCCCCACAACTGGCAAAAAAAAAAAAAAGAAAATGCTGAACTATTTAAATGAAAATGAACTGTATAACTTGTGAGCAGGGATGGGAAGGGAAAACTGAGGGAAAGCAAAGGAAGGGATAACTCTGTTAAAAAAAAAACAACAACTCATACTCATTGTGATAGTGCAGCCTTGATTTGAGTTCAAGCCCTCATGTTGGTTAAAAAAATCTCCAAACCAAAAACAGTTTACATATATTATATAATATTTATATTTTGCTAGTACCAGAGTTGAAACTCAGGACTTTCTTGCCTGAGCTGGTTTTGAACCACAGTCTTTCAAATCTCAGCTTCCTGAATAGCTAGGATTACAGATACAAATCACTGACACCTAGCTTATAAATATGTATATTTTTACATATAATATACACATATAAAATGCATAATATAAACAATATATAAAACATCTATATTTTTTTCATACAATCACTCATATGATTCAAAATTCAAAAAATATATTCTAGGTGCTGGTGGCTCATGCTATAATCCTAGCTACTCAAGAGGCTGAGATCTGAGCTTTACAATGTCGGTTGGGGGGAAGGGTTGGGTAGGGGGGGAGGGGGGGGAGGCTGGGAAGGGAGGTGAAGGGTAAACAAAGGAGGAGGCTGCAATGCTTGGTAAGAAATGTATGCATTATCCTGCCCATGTAATTGAATTGTAACCCCTCTGTACAGTATGTTCACAAATTTAAAAAAAAAAAAAAAAGAGGCTGAGATCTGAGGATAATTGTTTGAAACCAGTACAGGCAGGCAAAGTCCAGAGATTTGTCTTGAATTAACCAGCAAAGTTATGGCTCAAATGGTAGAGTGCTATCTGTGAATGAGAAGACCTGATTTTAAGTCCAAGTACTAACATTAAAAACAAACAAATGGGCTGGGAAGGTTGCTCAGTGGTAGAGCGCTTGCCTTGCATGCCTCAGGCCCTGGGTTCAATTCCTCAGCACCACATAAGCAAAAAGAAAAAAGCCGGAAGTGGCGCTGTGGCTCAAGTGGTAGAGCACTAGCCTTGAGCTGAAGAGCTGAGGGACAGCACCCAGGCCCAGAGTTCAGGCCCCACAACCGGACCCAAAACAAACA